ATTGTTAACATCTTTTCTCTTCTCTAGAATTGTTTCTGTTGTTCTTTTGTTTTCCTTTTATTTCTCTCTTGTCTATTTTATGATTTCTCTTTTTTGTTTGGAACACTATAGATCAGTTAGGTAGTGACATCTGTTGGTGGCATCATGAGTCTGATCACCTAGTCACTACCTCCCCTGCCCCCCGCTTCATTAAATTTATGTCAATTCATATCACTTCATATATCATGTCTCCGTTAAAGGAACGTCCTATACAGGCACAGAGAAGACCATCTTCTAATGGGGATTTAGTTGTCATAGAATCTTAGAGTCTCGCCTTAAGCTACTTTTTACACAGTGGCAGGAGCTTCTGGAGATGAAATATGAAGATCGGAGGGAAAAAAATTGATTTCCTGTGGTCTCCACTCATCAAACCATGACCCAAATAATGACACTACAGATTGGCAAAGTGCCAGCTTCCAGACTGCCACAAACCAAAATATTTACATTTTAAATGCTTCAGTCACAAATGAAACCCAGAACAAGAGAACAAAAGCAAGGCTAAATTGGGCAAAACTAAGTAAAATGAGGAACAGACTAACAGCATGCTTATTGCCGTGAGAAATATGTAGGTGATTGATGATGACAGATGAAGTTTCATTTCCACTCTGTGTTAAATAAATTAGTAATCTCATCAATATCTTTTTTACTTCACTGACTTTGTGTAGTCGAGTGCTCCTGTTTCTCCTCCTTTTTTTGCTTTGTTTATACCAGTAGGGGCTAAACTTTTTGTCAGGCATGCCACAAATTATCCCTCTACCCTCCCTGACTGCCATTCTGATCCTCTTCCTCTGTCCAATCTGCTGCTCTGCTTTCTGCTTCTTTTCCTGTCCTCATTGCCTTACCTGCCACTGTGCTGCCAGTCCCGCTTCTGCTCTACTGTGTCACACAGAGGCTGTCTATGCCAGTTGTGGTGCACTTAGCACAGGTTGACCCCTCTGGTTTACACACTGCCTATCACAGGGCTCAGACAGTAGCAAAGAGTTTTAGAGAAGGATGAAATGGAGTCATTTGGGCTAGGGACAGAAATTACACAAAAACCAGTATAAGTGATTGGAAACTGGTTCAAATCTGTAACACAAGAGAAGTTCAGTGCGCATAAACTGCTTTCAAAGTAGCCAAACCCAGTTTAAGATAAACCTGGATGGAGGTAGTATCAGACTTAATTAATTTAGGTTAGATCAGTTTAATAGATTCATAGATGTTAGGGTCATAATGGACTTTAGTAGGTCATCAAGTCCGCCCCCCTGCCCTAGGCAGGAAATAGTGCTGGAGTCAAATGAGGGGAGAGCACCACCTCCCTTGGAAGCCCATTCTAGATTCTGGCAACCCTTACTGTGAAGAAATGTTTTCTAATGTCCAGACTAAGTCTTCTCTCCATCAGTGTGTGGCCCTTGTTCTTAGTTACTCCAGGGGGTGGGGGTAGTAAATAGAGCATCTCCTATTCCCTGCTGCCATTCCCTGATGAATTTATAAGCAGCCCCAAGATCACCTCTCAGCCTTGTCTTGCAAAGGCTGAAGAGATTTAGGTCTCTCAGTCTCTCCTCATAGGGCCTTGCCTGCAGGCCTCTGACCATACAAGTGGCCTCCTCTGAACCCTATCAAAATTCTCCACATCCCTCTTGAAGTGCAGCACCAAAAACTGGACACAGTGCTCTAACTGCAGCCTGACCAGCGCCACATATAGAGGAAGCATCACCTCCCTGGACTTGTTCATCATGCATCTGCTAGTGCATGATAAAGTGTGGTTAGCTTTGTTGATCACTTCATCAAATCAACAACTCATGTTCATCTTGGAGTCCACTATGACTCCAAGATCCCTTTCCACTGCTGTGCTGCTGAGAAGGTGATCTTCCAGCCTGTAAGTGTGTTGGTGGTTCTTTTTGCCCAGGTGCAGCACTTTGCAAGAAAGCACTTTGTTGAACTGCATCCTATATCATTCTGCCCATTTTCCCAACTTGTCCAGATCCACCTGGATCCATTCCCTACCCTCTGGTGTGTTAACATCACCCCATAACTTGGTATAATCTGAGAACTTGGATGGGGTGCTCTCCTTGCCCTCGTCTAAGTCACTGATGAAGACATTGAATAGCAAAAGTCCCTGCGAGACTCCATTGCCCACATCTTTCCACGTTGATACCAACTTGTCCACCACCATTCTCTGGGTATGACCCCTAAGCCAATTTGCCAACCACCTGACTGTGTAATCATCTACATCACAACCTGTCAGTTTATTTATGAGAACAGAATGAGATACTGTATTGAAGGCCTTCTTAAAGTCTAGATACACGATATCTACCTCGACTCCTGGTGGAGGATAATGTTGGCTACAAAGGACCAACTCACATTATTATCATAAAATTCTAGTTTATTGGATGGATGCAAAATTCAGACCATAAACTTCAGTGCTGATCCCCTCAAACACACGCACATTCATGCACATGCACACACTCACAGTAGCTAGTTCTGAACACTAAGCACTGGTGTCAAGATATACCTATCGCTAAGCACTGGAGTCCGCTGTCGATGGACAGTTGAGTCTTCTTTCAGTGCCCCCCAGCACTCTGTTGCTTCAGAAGGGGGTCACCAGCTGGTCCTTCTGGCT